CATTTCGCCCTCACTGGTGTAGAGGAAAGTAGCTGGCAGTAGTTCTCTAAAATAGACACGAGACACATATTTGTGACCTCCCCAAAAATCCCCATCACAAGGCTAACTGTTAAAGACCTATACTATAAATATTAATTTTTAATTCTAACAATTTCTTAGCAAGTATGAGATATACAATTAAATTGCATTTCCTGTTTTGTTTTTTATTTTATTTTATTTTGATTTAGCGTCCAGCGTACATGGCAAAAAAGCCACCATTAGTTTTTGTGTTTCATTTCTTAGTAAGCAGCGGACCCATGGGGGTCGCCTCTGAATTAGTGTGAAAACACAAACATATTTGGTCTTTGTTTTTAAATGTTATCTGTGTTAATCATAAATATTTTAAGAGAAAAGAAAGACAGAAGAAGGACATTTATTTGTCTCTGTCCTCAGGATAGGGTGAACAACGTCATCCTCGATGTGGTCAGACGTTATGACGTAGACGGTGTCCACATGGACGATTATTTCTACCCCTACCCTACCAGCACAGCCTTCCCCGACTCAGCGACGTACAACGCTTATAAGGTACACAACAAAACAACGTCTTTACTTCATGTGAAATTTGTGTTAGGATATCAAAATGTTCATGTCATGAAGATGCCAGACATCACCCTAACTCATTTAACTCTATACATGCTCCTCGATGTTCTGACAGAGTGGTGGTGGAACTTTGGGCCTCGCTGACTGGCGACGTGACAATGTCAACAAACTTATTGAAAGATTATCTACCAAGTAAGTGTTTTTTGAGTAGTAAAAACATGTTAAGTATTCTTTTCAGACCTTGTGACCAGTAGGGCGGATGATGAAAAAGTTAGAGACACAAGAGGTGACGCTTCAGGAAAGATCTGTGCTCTGAACACTACTCATGCGATTTAAGTCGTGATATCGTCACGTGATCATCCAGAATGGATTGGCTATGTTCGATCGTTTCGAAAAGCCCAATGTAAAGATATCTAATCTACAGATGTTTTTTCGCTTCTACGCTATTGTTTAGTGTTCCAAGTATTTTTACAACCTTAATTGTATTTTATCCTCTCCTATCTAGCCTTTTTTTTTGTGTTTAGTGTTAGTGACATATATTCGCAAACTATAAAACACAATTATTTTTAATATAATAAAATTATGACAATGAAAATTGTATTGGACAATTTATGGAATCAATGAGCTTGCGTGAACATTACTACATTGTTAAGTAGCTTGACATTTTCGTCACTCTTTCCTACAGTATTCATCAGACTAAAGCATGGGTCAAGTTTGGTGTTAGTCCATTCGGTATTTGGCGCTCAGGCAACCCAAGTGGAGTTACAGGTAAATAAATCAGCCCTCAAGAGTCCAATCAATAATCGACACGTGAGTCACTGGCTCATCATAGCAAACAGTTTAATAGAACCCCCAGCCACCGTGGCTTTATTATATACTGTGGGTAGGAAGAGCCTCTGAGGTTTTATTATACACTGTTGTTAGGCGGAGCCTCTGAGGTTTTATTATACTTTGGACAGAAAATTCAATGTGGCAAAGTAGAACACAGTTAGAAACAGATTAACGCCAGGTTCAATGACGTAGCCAGTGTGTGTTTCTGGTGTGGTGAGGGGGTAACCTTCTCCACGGAAGGAATTGAATTTTTGCATTTCTTTTTATTGGAGGGGACATTTTTTAAACATCGCTTTTTCCAGCATAGCCAATGAAGATTTGAGGTCCCCCGCTGAGTTAGCTAACAGCGCTCCCCTAAACCTCCTAGCTGTTCAGAAAGGTATGTCTAATTTAATTCCTTTAGTTCCAAAACTGGCGACAACATCATGACATTGTGTTTTTCTTCCAACACAGACAAAACGCGTTGAGTCAGTGAAAAAAAAATCCACTCCGCATTTTTAAAAATTACAATTCCTCTAATTATCTTGCAGACTCTTTCTGGGTGGATGGAAACTAGGTGGATGGGCACCAGGTAGATGGACACTGTATTTTACTAAATCTTACAGGCATGTCCAGTGTAGATGAAATCTACGCAGACTCGAGACTTTGGCTACAGAAAGGTTGGCTGGACTACGTGGCTCCACAACTGTACTGGACCATCGATGGGCCGCAGAGTTTCACCAAGCTCATTGACTGGTGGTCCGACCCTGCACAGAACCCCACCCACAAGCACATTTACGCAGGTCTGGCTGATTACAGGTCAGCAGAATTATAAATATTTCAGTCTCACGATGTCATTTATATTCCAATATTCTCTCTGCCAACCCAGGCATTGGGGAAATGGTAGTGAACATAAATATAGGCAGGTACCACAAGTTGCTGGTAGTGCAAACATAAATATAGGCAGGTACCACAAGTTGCTCGTAGTGCAAACATAAAAATAGGCAGGTACCACTAGCTGCTTGTAGTGCAAACAAAAAATTATATAAATTTTTAAAAAATTTCTTAAAATCTTTAAAAAAAAAAAAAACGCACAATCATGGCCCTATGTCATAATACTACAATTTGCATCCATTTTTTTTAAATAAAGAAAAATAATTAGTTAATAAACTAATTGGTTGATTTTCATGATTTATTTATGTGTTGTCATCACTATTGAACAATTGTAGAACGTTTTTTGACAGGTTAGTGAGACCAATGAAAAAAATTAGATTTTTTTTTTTTGGGGGAGGGGGGGGGGGGAGACTGCCTGATTTTTGAATGAATGAATCACAATCAAGTGAGATTATTGATTTCTGCCATTGGATCTCCTGTTGCTTACTGACCTGATAAGTTATTAACCTATAATCCATTGTATTACAAACATATGATACATATTCTCTGTCATGTAGTATTATAACACCGGCATTGACGTATACTGAATAAGAAGGATTTGTTGATTTTTTAATTACCCTAAACAAATATTTCTCTACTACAATTTGCTTATATATTTAAAGTAATAATAATTAACAAAAAACCTTATTTAGTAATTAAAATATTTGTCATGTTTCTCTGATGTAACCAATTTACTCTCTCTGTCTCTCTCTGTCATTCTCTCTCATTCTTAAATTCCAGAGAGTCTTTCTTTCTTTTTTGTTTCTTTCTTTCTTTCTTGTCAACTCTTTCTCATCGTTTGCCTCTGATTTCTCCTTGCTCTACTCTTTCATTTTAAGTCTGTCTTTCAAACTGTGTCTTCTGTCCAAATCTATCTGATCTTCAATACTCTACACCAGGATAGTGGATAACAACTGGAGTCCAAACGAGATCGTTCACCAGATCCAACAAGTTGAGATACGAACAAGCAGGCAAGTTTGGGGCGAGATTCATTTCAGCGCCAACCAGCTGGAAACCAATGCCCACGTAAGTTTAGTTTACAATTACGCCTTGTTATCCATCCTATCATGTCATGTTACATTTTGTTACTGCATGCTATCTGGAAATTTGATTCTGGGTATTAAAGATGTTTTGTGCATGTTGAATTCAGTAACATCACAAGAAATTCATCATCCTTTTTAGTTATTTTTTTACACAGTAAAAGAAAAAAACAAACAGGGCAAGAGCAATTAAGTATATGAATATGTTTGTAGGGGTCTGGAAATTTAGGCACTGGAAATTTAGGCACTGGACAATTAGACACCCGGAAATGTGTGCGATCAGAAATGTAGGCAACCGGAAATGTAGGCACCGGTAAATTGACAAGGCGAAAAAATTAGGCATCAGAAAATAAGAACTTTTTAATAGCTCGGGATTAAGAGCCACTAAATAATGTAGGTATCATAGGATTCAGGGAAGGGTAGGTAGAGAGATTCCCCGCTGATCACCTTCACCCCCCAGCTGCTAAGGTTGACGGGAGATTTTCGGTATGGATAATTACACAATTTGTGTCAATAATGAGCTACTAATCTAAATTCTCCATTCTGTGAGGTCTGTGGAGCCAATTAGATGTATTACTTTGTATTACGTTGAATCTAATGACCTGTATGTCTTCGGTCAGGGAACCTTCTCTCTGACCTGACTGGTAGCCAGTGTGCACTATAGAGCAATTAGCGTTAACAATAACAGAATAGTTACATTTTTAAGTTTTAACTTTACCCTTTCAATTTATAAATATTTTAAATTCCGTTTTAGACCGCTTATTTCTGTTACTAGGCTATCATTATTTTAGTTTCTATTTCAAATTCATATTTCCCTTTCTTCAAACAGTGACTTGAGTAAAGTTAATATTAATTGCATGAAATGTCTCAGTGCACATATCACTGTAATTTTAGTGTTGATTGCCATACTAAAACACAACACCTTTCCTCTTAGAATCTCTTGACAACGCTGAAGTCCACCGTCTACACATCACCCACTTTGACCGACGTCTACAGCTACAGGGGCGGCGTCCCTGCTCCAGCATCGCCCAACGTTGCGGCCAACGGGGCCGTCCTGGACTGGTCCGGTAGTCCCAAGGCCAACGTTCGCTCCTGGGCAGTGTACAAGAGCACATCCAACACCTGTACCCTGGTCAAGGTCCTACCTCCATCCACGACGTCTTACACGGCCAGCAGTAACGGTGACTATGTGGTCACTGCTGTCAACAGGCTCGGGGTTGAAACGGATAGCAATCCTGTCACAGTGGTGACCGCTGTAGTGGGATAAGGTCATTGCTAATAATAGAAATAAAGTTTTGCTCAACATATCAAGAAAGTAATTCGACTTCGTGTTGAAAATAACATTTCCACTAACTAACAAGGAAATGAAAAGAAGGTTTTGGTCTTTAATGCTTCTGTTTGCTTTGCACACAACAAAGTATAGTGTCCTTGATTATGTAATACATCACATGCGACACCACTTATAACTCTTGTTAACTCGAATACCTATAACTGTGATCATCATTTTAAGATACCTCTTTATTTGTCTCGTTTCCAAAAAAAAATGGAAGTTGATGACCATTGGTCAGTATCTTGGTCATATTAGAAACTAAAGAGTTCATTTAATAGTAAATTTGAAAATATAACAAAAGTTATTGATTGCAATTAGAAGTTTATTATTAGCAATTATGAATGTCTATTGTACAAAATAAAAAAAATTCTTTCGAAACTTCAATACAGATATGTTCATATAGTCTATATCTGTCAGATATAAACAGATGTCCACTATAAACGTTAAATATATTCGTTCGCTAGTTTAGCTTACGAACACATCTAGTAGAGATTTGAACTCGAGCCCCCTTGATAGGTAGCCAATCAGTTTTTACCACTCAACCACACACAGCCACATTTTCTTTACACAAGGACACGATCCAAATACATGAGTTTGTACTTTGGTTACACACACACACATAGATTGTTTCTTCTTCTGAATCATACACACACCCGATTTACAAAACAAACAATACACTATTTTACTTTTCAGTCATTTGAACCAGTCGTCTACAAGAGACAAGATAATGCATTGAAGAAACATCTATGTAAGTTTATATGACATCGGTTAATCAATATTTGACATTCATTCAATGACTCATTGACAACCGGTCATTAATCAGTGACATTATGTCATCGAAAATTGACATACCGTCATCAATCAGTAAGATCTGGTCATCAATTATTGACATGCGGTCATCTCTCATTGACATCCGGCCATCAATCATTGAATCGGTCATCCTAATTGATATTCTGTTACTAAACATTGACATCCGCCCATCAATCACTGACATCCTTGCATAATAAGTCATTGATGTCGGGTTATCAACCACTTACAGGCATGATTTATATAAGCATTGGTCATTATGTTATTCAACCTACAAGACACATTTGAATGTAGTACAATATTAGACTTTTTTAACAATCAGTGGAATCATAAGGCCGACATGACGCTGGTGGTACATATCATGTAAAAATAGGGGATGGGTTTTGAATTAGCCCGTTTCATCACAAAGCATGGTAAAGCGAGAGAGAAAGAAAGAAAGAGAGAGAAGCAATACACAAAAGATTTAGTTGAGATTGATTAAAACATTATGTGATATACACCAGTAGCGTTGCAAGGTAACCATGAGTTCGGGTTCAATAACATTATTGTAGATGAATGTATTGAAGACCAAATCGAGTCGGACTGCATGTATTAATACATGTCCAAAAAGCAGGTTCAAGTATTAGCGCAATTATTTTTGATACAGTAACAACTAAGTACCAGTAGAAGATACATACATTTTATATCTTTCCATATTACAAATCAAAAATTGTGTTTTTCTTTGGTCTCTCCCCCCCCCCCCATGCCAATGAGCCCTTTCTCAGCATTGTGGCTACGCCGCTGCTTATATTTTAATATTAAATCTGTTCTATATGAATGATATATAAAGTACAGTGAGTGACAATCGTATATGAGAATACAGTTTACATATAAAAAGCAATGGTCGCTTCCCTGTATAGGTGAAATTCTAATAAAATTTCCACAAATAGTATCAGACAAAAATACCAAAAAATATTTTTTTTAGAAGCCCTAATGAATTATGTACAGCTAATGATATGCTTTGATTGTCTTCGTTCAGATAGAATAAGAATACCAATGGTATCCATCTGAGGACTTTAAAACCGCACTGCCAACATGAGTAGACATACTACAAAGAGGAAATACTTCAACGACCTGGTAGCCTCAGAACCTGGAGAAAAAAAACAACATTTTTAATTGGTAGTTCACCTGATTGGGTTCTTAATCAGGTTGAATTATTTTCATTAATTAAAAGAAACAGTTTGATGGTTTAGATGTCCTCAACCTGCCAGAAAGTATAGTTTGTTTTGGAATCTATTTCAGCTTAAAATAAAAAAAAACAACTTCCATATAATTAAATAATCGTTTTCTTGAACACTTTCAAATACAGAGCCAGTTAATTAAAATATTTTTTTTTCTGGACCATGGTCTGCAACTGTGGACTTCATGTCAAGATATAAAAACACATTTTGTTTTCACTGAAATGTGCATTTATTTGCTGCATTGTCTTAACAATTTGGACAACGAAACTTGACATGAAACAGAAACAACGTGGGTTCTTTTCCATTGCTATAAATATTGGAACATAGTAAATAACATTGGATATTTACTTTTACACTTTATATTTGTGTATCTTGTTGTGAAAGGGATGGGCGTGGTGGTGGTGGTGAGATCTAACTAGGCACATAATTATTATGTTCTGGTAGATACAGAGCGTTTGATACTGTAGTGTATGGGACAATATGTTTCATTGAATAATGTGATGTTTATGAAAGATGATCAAGCTGAACCAAAAGCTTTTTTTTTTGTATTGCGTCACATCCTGACTATCGGTGCTCATGAAACAAACGATAGATTATGTTTTAATATTATGAACATAAATATAATATTTAAAAAAAACTCTCAAACAGAGGATGTTTAAAGTTTATATAAAATAGAGGAATAATTTATAATTTATAAAAAAAATACTCTAAAAAAAGACTATATCTACTTTATACAACTTATAGTGCGATAAATGAATGTTAGATTGTTAAAAGTGGAAATCAGCCTATAAATTAAACTAAAGTTTCCCAAGCATGGTCAACAAGCTAATAACTCTCTTCCCAAAGATATATATCAACTGTCAAATCCCTGGGAAATTCGCTAGAGCCGTTTTAATGTGTCCACCCACCTACCCAGTTTCCATGAATGTGCGAGATGAATAGAGAAACTTGTAAAAACGGCACTGTGAATGACACATAGAACAAAATGCGTAATAATTGTTACAAGGAGTATTTTTGCAGTAATCTCCCTTTCATATCAAGAAATATTTTCAGTTTAGCAACTTACTTGTCATTGACAAGTACACTGGAGGACGCTTAATACTTAGCACGATAATGGTGATAAAGATAATGTTGGATTTACCAAACTAACCACTCTAACAAAGAAGACAACTCACCATTGTTACCGTGCTGACCGCCGACCTCTGAACCCTTGACCTCTTTGCCACCTGTAAACATGAAGAAACATTTCTGTGTGATACTCAGATCTATTTAGTTTCGAAACGTTCCTGTGTGATGCTCAGATCTATTTAGATTGAAAACATTTCTGTGTGATACTCAGATCTAGTTAGATTGGAAACGTTTCTGTGTGATACTCAGATCTAGTTAGATTGGAAACTTTTCTGTGTGATACTCAGATCTAGTTAGATTGGAAACGTTTCTGTGTGATACTCAGATCTAGTTAGATTGGAAACTTTTCTGTGTGATACTCAGATCTAGTTAGATTGGAAACATTTTCAACATTCTGATGGAAATCTTGACTCTGATTGGATCAATGTGTTTTTTGGAGCAAATTATTTCAAAGATTTTTAACATGACCATTGTGTACTTTGTGTAAAATAGTGTACATTAAAGTTTAATTTGCTCTGATAAATAAGTTGTTTAGGGCAAACGGATTAGCCTGTATTTGTGGCTGTCTTCTTCTTGGTTATAAATATCATGTTATTGATTCATAATGTGAATAATAATTAGCTAAGTGTAGATTTCTGAAATGTATTGATTCCGTTTGGCGGACAAGGTGTACGTTTAATGTCAGACACTTAAACAAAATACATTGCAGTCAGTACACTGATAAATCGCTGATGCTTTAATGAAGGTCTATAGGTGAGGCTCAGTTGGTTGATGAATCAAACTTGTGAACATTCGACTGGAAGAGCTAGGTAAACTTCTGTAACTGTTGCAAGAATGTTCTCCTATGTCTCGACATTTCTCTCTCGGCTTTAGCGATTCAATCCATTGTTTTCAAAACTTATCTAGATACAGAAATCATTGTAAGCGCATCGAAAATGAAATTTAAAAAGGTCCGACTTTCCACAAAAAAGAACAATTCTCATAAACCTTGACACATTGTTGCAGTATTGATGCCAGACATGAACGTATGTGTGTACTTTTAGAATGCTATGTGAAGAGTATTGCTGAGTGGAGGATACGCATTAACCGTGAGATATGCCAATGGCAGGCTGACCAAGCTTAAGTGATGGAAATAAAAAAGACTTCGCTGAGTGGGCCAGCCAGAAAGAATGTCAGAGAACAGAAGAGCAAACATTGTTTACCGGCAAAACCCAAAAGGCAGGCGACTCAAAGGCAGGCCACGAATACGGTGGATTGATGATGTGGAGGCAGAATCTAAATAAAAAGATGTGCTGAGCAGGCCAGAGCCCTCCTTGGGCTGTAGCGTCACTTGAGTGGATGAATGGATGGATAGATGGATGGATGAATAGATGGATGGGTGGATAGATGGATAGATGGGTGGATGAATGGATGAATGGATGAATGGATGAATGGATGAATGGATGGATAGATGGATAGATGGATGGATGGATGGATGGATGGAAGGATGGATAGATAGATGCATGGATGGATAGATGGATGGATGAATAGATGGATGGATGGATGAATAGATGGATGGATGGATGGATGGATAGTTAGATAGATAGATAGATAGATAGATAGATAGATAGATAGATAGATAGATAGATAGATAGATGGATAGATGAATGGATGGATGGATGGATGGATGGATAGATGGATGGAAGGATGGATAGATAGATGCATAGATGGAGAGATGGATAGATAGATAGATAGATAGATAGATAGATAGATAGATAGATAGATGGAAGGATGGATGGATCGATGCATGGTTGGATAGATGGATGGATGAAAGGATGGATGGATTGATGAATGGATAGTTGGATAAATAGATGGATAGATGGATGCTATGTGGTGAGCAAGTGACAGCAAGAAAACGGACTAAACACCTCCCACATATCTATTTATCTTGTGGCCAGAACCTTCAACGCACCCGCTCCGTCCCACCTTTGTACGGAGAAATGAGAATATCACTTACAGGTGGACATTCTGGTACGGTCAATAGTGTCAATGTACTTCTGGAGCTGGACGTCTTCATCCAGAAAACATCCTGAGGACTGCAAAGCATGTTCAGCACACCCAACATTCAGCTGCATATACCTGGAGAAGTAACGCACAAGGAATAAAACTTGAATTCTAGAAGTATAGCTTCTCTTGTTTCTTCATCTGGAAAGACCTGGAGATGTTTAGTATGTTTCATTGAGATGTTTAGTATGTTTCATTGAGATGTTTAGTATGTTTCATTGAAATGTTTAGTATGTTTCATTGAGATGTTTAGTCTGTTTCATTGGGATGTTTAGTATGTTTCATTGAAATGTTTAGTATGTTTCATTGAAATGTTTAGTATGTTTCATTGAGATGTTTAGTATGTTTCATTGAGATGTTTAGTATGTTTCATTGAGATGTTTAGTATGTTTCATTGAGATTTTTAGTATGTTTTATTGAGATGTTTAGTATGTTTCAGGAGGATTTTTAGAACTATGTCTTTTAGAGCCTGCTGTGACTCTTGAAATTTTTTTGTCCTTTGTTGTTTTATTTGATTTTTTGAAAATAAAAAAAGATTCTACACATCACATTTCAAACATTTTGGACACACAGCCAGTGACAAGTAGACAGTGACACTCTGACACCCAGACAGTGACACCCAAAAGAGGCGTATTGGTGTCGCCACTGCATAGAGGAGGAAGAAACAATAGACCACCTTCTTTATGAATGTCGCGTACTGGATGGAGGACGATCGGGACAAGGAATTGAAAGAGAGAGAACTGGTTCGTGTGCGACAATTGGTTTGTCCTTTTACGGAGACAAGGCGACCTTAAAACGCACTGCCCGCTTCCTTTCAAATGCTATAAGGGAATAATCTTAGCATGGTTCTTTACTAATGGGGTCTCTTATTCAGGGTATCTGGTGCATTGGTGAGCGCATGGCTCTTGGCTTTTTATCTTGTTCGTGCTCGAGTGAAGTTTAAATAATCTTTCGATTTGATGGAGCTGAAAATTAGATTTATTATTGAATTTTAATACCCCATATGAAAATTTATAAAAATAAATGTCAGGCCAGGCCTTTGCTAAAACAAACAAGTAAACGTAGAGAGGATGTAGAGAGAATCATTCATAGTGCTACCACAAATGAAGCTTTGATTCTAACATTAAAGACAAACCATTATTACTAAAATATTGCTCTTATATTACAGACTCTGTGCCTCTACTTACGTGCACCAAGTGGACCCTTCAAACATACTCTTTATGGAAGGAGAGAATGCCATGGAGACAGCTGTTGTACACTTCACAAAGGCTGGACACTGTATCAACTTTGGATTGCTGGATACTGTACATTAAACATCATAGTCGCGGATTAGTGAATAGCATAGAATAACT